GAATTTGCAAAACTCAGTCTACAAGGGAGCTAATGGTGGGCACCAAAATCAATCTGGATAAGCGATCAAATACTTTTGAGAAAAAATATTTGTAAGTGTTGCATTGTAGGGGTAATTAACTCTTAATATATTTCTTTCTTAAAAGTCTCTCTGTGGTACCAACAATAATGGTAAAAGAGAATATTTCATGTTGAACATCAAAATTTTAAGGGAATTATTTGTGAGTAAATAAAGTACTCGTCGTAAGTTTGATCGAGATGATCAACTTACTTTAATAGAAATGACTAATTATGAGGTTAATCGTTGAATTATTGGAATGACTTAAAGCCCAATAGGTGATAAATTTATGGTGAGTCCCACTTTTGTGGTCAAACGAAGCCATGAAAAGAATCACAAAGTAGTACACTAATTGGTCATTCCTACAATGTGTGTACTTGTGAGGTTGAGCTACAACTCTTAATGAATTCATAACCCTATGAGAATGGTGGTTTTGTTGAGACAGACCTAATGAATTCACCGCATAATGCTTGAGTACAAAAGTGTTCTTAATGAGTTATATATACAATTGGGAGGTCTATTTTGAGGTAGACCTAATGAGATCCCTGACTTGAGTGAAAAATGGCTAACCGCCTCAGTCGATATACACACAACCCAACTGATACTCACTGGAGTGCACTGAGATGAGTGCTTCGGTACCTGAGAGGTACCATAGACTGGGGACTAGACAATGTAGCGTTCCCAACAGTGATAGAAGGGTTTTGTGATGCAAACTGGGCGAATGACATCAAGTGTGGGGGATTATTGGGAATGTGTGGGGGATTGTTGGGAAACATTCAAGCCAGAAGGCTTCTTCCTTCATTTTAGGATCAGTCAAAGTTGACTGCCCCCATTTCTCCTTAATAGGAGCTAATCATGTGGACTACATGAAGGGGTTTGTTGGAGATTAACTATATAAATATATAGTCCCACTTTGGGTAGAAAGACAACAAAAATACGTTAATCACATATTCCCTCCTTTTCTGCATTCTACTAGAGATCCCTGAGTCTGAGCAATTAGTCAGGTTATTCTGTGTTGCACGTCAAAAGCGTACCGAATATCTTGACTGCACCGTCACCAGTCAAATAACGCTTTTAAGGTATTGTTATATAACACGGCACAGACTCCCTTACCGTTATACACCCCGGCCCATTTTTTCCTTATTCCCTGAAAGGTTGCCGGCCCCCGCGTTGACGTTGCCAATATATTCCAACACAAAGAGTTAACAACATCTCCACTTAGGCTCGATCTCAGGACCTATCCCATATGGGAGAGGTCATTACATACCATCTGAGCACAAGTGCTTGGCTATGAAAACTATTTCTGCAAATCTATTTAGTGCAAATTATGCTAGGAAATCTCTTTGGTTTTGGGTATCAAATCTTGATTGAGGATATTTTAGGGACAAGCACGAAAAGAAGAATCTTTGATTTATCTGTGTTACTGTTAACAAACAGGAAATAATGTTATGCTGTTAATTGAAACATTGTGGTTTTTGGGTGGGGTCAAGTCCAGCAATTGATAGTTAGAGAATTGTTTGGCGGAGGATGGTGAAGGGCCAGTCTAGAGCTTTGCCTTTCGAAGATATAGTGACGGTATTTAAGAAAATAAAATTACAAATTCGCTGTGAATTATAGTTTTTAGCGTAGTGGTCTTAATATTGAAAATATTTCTTTTTATGGTGCCTCCATATGATTTGCCTTTGACTCTTTGAGTATGCAATTTCTTGTTATTGGTGAAAGGATCTTTAAAGTAACACAACGACAACGATCATTTTCAGATTAAGCTTTATTCTTTCCTCTTGTATTAATATTCTAGCTTTGCTTTATGTTTTGTCTTGGAGCTTGTGGTTGAATGGCAATGCTAAGAAGGTTGTAGAAGATTTAACTTTTCCCTTTACCCTTAGTAATCTGGTAATTATTGTTGTGGTCATTACTAATTAGAAGTAATAAACTGATACTGATCCTTCATGGATGCATAATCACTGATTTTATAATTATATTGCTTAAATGCAGCTTATATATTCTGAGATTGGTTGCTGAGTTTATAATTTCACGAAAGTTTTCCTTTAATTAGTTGCCATGTTGCCATGTTGGGTTGATAAGTCAATTTTGAATGGTTTGACTAAAGGAGTGTTTGGTAAATAATTGTTAGCTGATTGAGTTAGTGGGTTTGACTAGTCGATAGTATTAGCTGATTGTAGAAAAGTGTTTGGTAAATTAGCTGTTAGCTAATAGCCGATTACATGCAAAATGACTCTCTCAAAAAGCTAATCGAAACAACTGTTTTGAGCAGTTTTTTTAATTTTAACATTTTGGAACAATAAGATATTACAAAAAGCTAATAAACCAAGCACTCATATTGATTGTTTAACCAAAATCAAACAGCTAATAGTGGTCAAATAAGTCAAAATTGGCTGATAAGCTAACTATGTTACTAAACAAGGCCTAAGTTTGATAAAATTAGAGATGACAATTGGTCGAGATGGGTTTGTGAGGACTACATCCAGTCATCCACCACCCGACCCATCTTATATTTTCTCCACCACCCCACCCTCAACCCGCATTGGGTGTACTTTTTAAAAATTCACCATCACCCCACCGGGTACAGATATCCACTACAAATACCCACCACTTATTATTTTATTAATTTTAATTTTTTTCAACAAATAATATTTAAATTACTTATACATAGTAAAATAATAAAATTCATTAGTTATACTAAAATATAAAATAATAGAAATATTTAAATATAATAACTAAATTGTTAATTTTTAAAAATAAACTTAATAGTTTATATATATAAATAGTACAAAGTTACCAAAGGTATATAAACTTTTATAATTAATTACAAACTAGTACTTATTTTACTATTATATATACATACATATATGTATCAGTGGGGCAGATTGAAATTGACATCCATAAAATGGTTTATTGCATTAGTTTATTTGGACAATGAGTCAAAATATGGAAAGTTAAAAAGAGTAAAGTTTTCAATTAGGTGATTGGCCTTAATTATGAAATGGCCATTTTACCCTTGTCATTCCTAATATTTATATCTCTCTTGTAGTTGTTCATCTAACTTGCCATTTTTCTTTCTGTTTTCGTAATTTTAACTATAATAAAGCTATATGGTTTGGGAAGTAATTAATGTTACAATTAATGGCACAACATCCTTTATTATATAAAAAAAAAAAAGCACAACATTTGAAAAATAAAGGGAAAATGACACTTTTTCCCCCTGAGTTATATACTTATAGTACTTTTTCCCCCTCAATTATTTAAGTGGCTCTTTTCCCCCCTAAAATGTTAAATGGACATATTTACCCTTAAAATAAATATTTAAAATAAATATTTCATTTATTTTTCTTTTCCAACAAATTATTACTATAATTTGGTTCAAACCAAACAGATACTATAGCAACCAAACCAAAATATTCCAATTACAATTTAGAATCAAAACGCGATATTTAGAGTTTATTAAAATCGCAAATCGAAATGGCCGGTTCATGTTCCGAACTGAAAAAATAAAATACATTTATTGTTGAATTTAGACTATTTTAAAATAAAATTTAAAATAAAGACGGTTCAAAATCGCGAACCGGATCCGGAACCGCCGGTTCACGGTTCATGATCCAGTTTTTTTGGTTCATAAATTTAATAAATTGAAATCTAAATATTGAATTCTAGATCTGAATCATATCCGAAAACTTTTAATTCGATTGCTATAGTGTCCGGTTCAGTTCGAACCGAACCGTGGTCATTGCTACATATACACAATAATTTGTTGGAGAAATAAAATAAATAAAATGTTTACTTTAAGGGTAGAAATGTCAATTTAATATATCAAGGGGGAAAAACCACCACTTTTAAAATAATTGAGGGGGCTAATGTGCTTACATAAATAATTGAGGGGGAAAAAGTGCTATAAGTATATAACTTAGGGGGAAAAAGTGCCATTTTCCCAAAAATAAAATAGCTATATATTATATAATCATATAAAAAGTGTGTTCAATTAGAGTTTAAATTTACTCATACAACCAGGACTATGTGGTCCAATGGTATCCGGGTTGGACTTCCATTTGGAAAATTATAAGTTCGAGCTTCAGTGGAGGCGTTATTGGTTCTTTGTGTTTCAGTGGTTGAGAAAGTATATGAACAGATACTACAATGTAATAGAGCCAGTAACTTTCAAAAAAAAAAAAATTTACTCATACAAAATTTGAAATTTGCTTACCAAATGTAATTATCTTAGTTATTATTCGTATTGTGAAAATTATAATATAGATGAAATACAATTAAGAATAAATCAATGTAATTATATAAATTCTCTCTATAAGTTTATTTGAATATGCACATAATTAGAGATTATATTAACCATACAAAATTTTAATTTTAATTGTAATTTTATATTCTATAAAAATAATAAATACTTGACCAATGGAAGCTCAAAAATATTATTATATTAAACAATTTAAAATATTTTAGTTTTTTTTTTTATTTTTTATTTATATTTATAATAACATAATTTTTTTCGTGCATCGCGCGGGTGAATTACTAGTAGTAATAATAATAATAATAATAATAATAATAATAATAATAATAATAATATCAATAATTAATAAAATTTGTAAAAGTAATTTAAGAGTTAATAAATTAATATAATATGTACTCAAAAAATTTAGCACAACATATTTATGCTCTTATAATTAAGTCATTTTACATCTAACCAGCTAAAAGTATTAGCTAACTCTATTAATTCTATCACTAAGACTTGAACCGTCCTTGGCGGGCTCTCTCTTTTATGCTTGCATAAATTAAAGTGGATAAAAGGATGTTTTATATATACTGTTATGGCACGCAATTCTTGAGACCTACTGCAAGAATAATCTCTTGTGTTGGTGGTCTCCACATGCAATCTTGTAACAGTGTAACGTGTCTTGTGAACATAGCACAAGACCTAGAGAGATAGAGAGAGAGAGAAAAGTGTTCAGTCTGTTTTAAGTTTGATTTGCTTAAGTAGTAGGGTGGTGTTTTGGCCTTTGGTTATCTATCTGTGGACTGTGGCCTTAGCTTGCAGAGATGTGATCGAGCATCAAAGTCATGTAATTTCTCAACTTATTAACTACTTTCTTTCACCAAGACTATGAGCTTGCCTAGAGCCAAACAACCTTATTTTTCCTCCTTAGAAGAAGATCTACTCATAAAAAAGATCCTTCTCACTCATGATCCTAATGCCACTCACCTGGATTCTGCATTGTTACTTCATGCTGTTCAGAATATCGTTTGTCACATTATGTCAAAGGTAATGATTTTACTGTTATCTTTTCCAAAGTTCCATAAGAATTGGTCCCTAGAGCTATGAGTTTGATTTTATTTTTATTTTTTAATAAAATTTGTTAATACCGTGTATGTATTACATTCAAGTTGATGCAAACACTTCAAAATGTTTTTGGGCAAAATGTTATTCCATATATATATATATATATATATATATATATATATATATATATTGCTTTTGTGATAGATTTATGTCCCTGGAAGCAATGTTGTAGAAGGCGCTAAGGCGCTAGGCGTTAGTCGAGCGTCCGGGTGCCTCTAGCACTGCTTAAGTGGGCGAGTAGTGATAATAATAAGAAAAATAGCACACTAAAAAAAAAAAAACACCCGGCCCCGAGTTGGCTGACTTGGACACCTAGCTAGTTTGAACGACTCACCGCCAAGTTGGCCAACTCGCGCCTAGTTTGACCGATTCAGGTTCCAAATTGACCAACTTGGACGCCTAGGCCGCCTAAGGCGCCTAAGAGGCCAAGTAGTAATAATAAGAAAACTAGCACACTCAAAAGAAAATAACACGCGGCCCCGAGTTGGCTAACTTGGGCACCTAGTTTGACCGACTCACCGCCAAGTTGGCCAACTCGCGCCTAGTTTGACCGATTCAGGCTCCGAATTGACCAACTCGGACGCCTAGGCGGCGGCTAGGCCGCCTAAGAGGCCGAGTAGTAATAATAAGAAAACTAGCATACTCCAAAAAAAAAAAAAAAAAAAACACCCGGCCCCGAGTTGGGCGCCAAGTTGACTGACTGGGCACCTAGTTTGACCGACTCACCGCCGAGTTGACCGACTCGGACGCCTAATTTGACCAATTCAAGTGCCGAATTGACCAACTCGGGCACTTAGGCCACCTAATTATCCAGGCGACTAAGGGTCAAATGTCCTTGTCCTAAGGACGCCTAGACCCGTTTTTGCAACGGTGCCCAGGAAGTTTTCGGCCATAAGGCTGGCTGGCTAGCATAATATGATTATTTGAATTTATATTTTCAGGATTCTGATCCAACTGATAGCATCACTCCATGTAATGTTGGAGTTGCTGGACTAGAAGAAACTCTAGGGCAGACCATCTATAAGATCTCACATGAGGTACTTAATTGCTAACATCTTATCCTCTCAAGGCTGCCTGCATATATGCACCTCTTAGTCTATATATTCTCATTCAGGTGCCTAGATTTAACAGTTTTTATTGCAGATTTTTAGCATATGTTCTAATGGCATTGATGAACATGCAAAAACAATGCTGCTCTTTGAACTTCTAAGCCATTTAAGATGGGATGCTAAAGTAGTCTTGGCACTTTCGGCATTGACATCTACCTACGGAGAGCTATCGCTTGTGCTACAGCAACTCCCTCATAGTCCTTTGGCTGCTCTGCTTGCGGCACTCAAGCAATTGCCTCGCAGCTTAACCGCTTTGAACATGCAATTCAAGGCTTTGAATTTGTTGATTAACACAATGGTGGAATTGGCAAAAACTGTTGTCCGGTTTGAAGGACTGCCTTTGCAACTAGTACTTTTGGATCACAAGGCAATCGCTGCTACCAAGTCTAAAATCTGCATTGCAACTTACTGGATTTTGAGAAGCTCGTTATCGTGCTTCGCTCTTCTTGCTGACTTGAGGACTATAAAAGATGAGCAAGTGCATGTTCTTTCCCTTCACTTACAATTTCTTCCCCTTGTTTTATCCTTTTCTTTGAGGAATAGTGATAGTTCTTTTGGACTTATGTTAAGTGAGATTCCTTTAATGCTTTATCATGTTAAGTGATACTAAGGATTACCTAAAGAAGGGTGTGAACTCTTATTCATCCAGGCATTCAAATAGAACAGCAATTGCATCATGGGCTCTCTTCAGTCTGGTATACAAGTTAAGTGGGTTATACCATGAGCTTAGAGAGCAAGTGGATGTGTGCTGTCAGCAAATAGGTAAATGTCTTCAATAATAAAGCATCTTTGAAACCATTGTTGGTTGGAGGCCCGTGAAGGGCCAAGTCCAGCACCAGGTGGCTAGGGCGATTGTTGGGCGGAGGCTTGAAGGGCCAGGCCAGCTCAGCACCCAGCCTCTTGAAAATGTGGCAGTATAAGGAAATAAAGTTGCGTAGGTAAATGTCTTTAATAATAAAGCTTTTTTGAAACTATTCTTGGGCGGAGGCCGCTGAAGGGCCAAGTCCTACACCAGGTGACTAGGAGAATTGTTGGGTGAAAGAGGCATGAAGGGCAAGACCAACACCCTGCCTCTCGAAAATGTGGAGGTATAAGGAAATAAAGTTGCCTAGGTAAATGTCTTTAATAATAAAGCTTCTTTGAAGCCATTGTTGGACGGAGGCTAGTGAAGGGCCAAGTCCAACAACAGGTGGCTTGGGGAATTGTTGGGCGGAAGAGGCCTGAAGGGCCAAGTCTAACACCCTGCCGCTAAAAAATGTGGCGGTACAAAGAAATAAAGTTGCTGGTAGTTATAGTTTTTGGCATATGACAATCGCTTGATCCTAACAAGTGGTATCCTATTCCTTATATGAGACATACTCAACAACCTTTCTAGTGAATAATTTTTTGATGGCTTGCAGAGACAAGGTTTCCTGAAGAGCTGTTGAATGTTTTTAAGTTAAACCATCTAGATAACCAAGAGGTGCTTCAGATGCTTTTTGCCTTGAGAGATAACTTGCCTTTGAAAAACTATTCAAAAGAAATGGTAATTTCCTTCTTTCCTTTCCCTCTCTCAACTGTATACCTGCAATTGAAGAACATCATAGAGAAAAATTTGTAACATTGGCCTTGTACTCAACAGTGTGGCATCCTTGAATTGAAAGGCAAGGAGGTTATGTTCTTGATATCAAAGCCAGAGATTTTCTCAATGGAGAAAGTCTTCTTTCTGATGCAACAGACATATGATCATCCCCATCGCAAAAGCTTACAGGGAAGCTATGTAATTTTATGGGTCCCAATTGCCACCTCCGATGTTTGGAGTCACGCCGATGAGATAACTTTCCAGTTTTGGTCAAATTCCTTTCCATGGTTCTCTATCAGGCAACCTAGGTTACTAAACTCAGATGTTGTGCAATTCATTAGGCGAGAATGGAATTATAACGAGGAACCGATAATGGTCATCTTAAACACTGATGGAGTAATTACAAACTCTAATGCATTGGATATGGTGTGGATATGGGGGGCCAAAGCATTTCCCTTTTCAACTTCAAAGGAAAAGGAGCTGTGGGAACACCAGAAGTGGAGCCTGCAATTCATAACTGATGGTATTGATCCTTTGTTGTCCCAATGGGTAAGGAGCCTCTTCTACTTCTTTTTTTTTTTTTGAAACAGTTATGATTCTTTACAAGGTAGTATCTGTTCTATACTTTCTGAATCTTTTCAGCACAAAGAATCAATGCCCCACCATCGGGGTTCGATCATATGACCACCCATTTGGAATGGTTGTGTAGTTGGCCATTACTACTAGTACTACTTTTATAGAAAGTAATGGTTTCTGTACAAGTGTTTACATTGTTGGTCTGTATGTATATCAGGTCGAGGAAGGTGAAAAATATATCTGCATTTATGGAAGTGATGACATAGACTGGATAAGAAACTTCAACAGTAGGATGAACAAAATTAAGCGTACAGGAGTTCAGCTCGAGGTGGTTTATGTTGGGTGGAGAAATCCAACCGAAAACATCATAGACGCCATCCGTCAAGAAAACTCAAGTGTGGTGTTCCTCAGTTTCGCGAAAATGCAGCTTTTTTGGCTTCGGATGGATAGTATCAGAAGCTCAGTTATGCGGCTAGGCGTTGATAGTAATGTGAAAGACGAGGTGATGGGGTTGTTGGAAGCTGTAGAAAATCGGAAGCAATGGGGGGTGATCGGGAAGGGATCATCATCACCCGAGATAATAACACTTGAAGGCAGTAAACTCGAGGAATGCTTTGATCTCTTCCCGGAATGGGGTGAAAGTGTGGGGAAGTTTGGATTAGTAGGTGCTATTAGAACTGCCATGGAGTCTCCTCTGCCTTCCAAACCCTGCTATCACTCGGTAACACTTCCATATCAGAAAGAAGTGAGCCAAGAAACCGTAATTTGCAGTCAGTGTAAGCGCCCCATGGGGAAATATGTTGTTTACAAATGTGATGTTATAGATTCTACAGTTGAATAGGTTGTCCTTTACGACCACTAATTTTTTTTTTTTTCTTTCTTTGGTGATGAACCAAGTGTTGTGAGGCCTATTTTACAATAAAGATACCAACATTTATAAAGCATTGCTATTTTCAGTGAAAGTGAAGTGCATTTAAAGATTGAGAAATATATATACATAATTTTTTTAAAAACTCTAACCAGGTTGGGACTTGGGAGTACTGTGGAAGAAAAACATCATTTTTTTTTTCTTGTTTATGGCCTGATAGAGGGAGACTGGCCATATTGCAACTTAATAAGGGAGTAATAGGAGCCATGAGTCCCGAGGCGAAGCAAGTCAGAGTGTGATCCCTGCTCTACCACTTTCCCGTTCTTGATTACACTGATGGTGTCTGATTTCTGTATTGTGGAGAGCCTGTGGGCGACGATTACACATGTTCTTCCCTTCATCATCTTCTCCAGTGCTTCCTGAACCAAGTTTTCCGAGATGCTGTCAAGTGCACTTGTGGCCTCATCCAAGAGCAGGATAGCTGGATTCTTTAGTATGGCTCGAGCAAGCGCTATTCGTTGCCTCTGCCCTCCTGAAAGCTGCACTCCTCGCTCTCCACAATATGTTTCGTACCCATCTTTCATCGAGCTGCAAGCATTTAAACTAGCTAAGTTCAGCATATATATATAATATATAAGTTAGATGGTTGTAGCGTGTTGTACCTTATGAATTCGTGTGCATTAGCGAGAATTGCAGCTTTCTTGATTTCAGATCGGGTAGCGTTTTCTTTGCCATAAGTAATGTTTTCTTGAATTGTGCCTGCAAAAAATGTGGGTTCTTGACTCACCAGAGCTATGTGTGATCTGAGGCTCCTTAGGTTGTATGCTTTGATGTCTCTGTCATCTATCAGTACTGATCCTCTCGCGGGATCATAGAATCTTTTGATCAGTCCAATGATGGTGGATTTTCCCGAGCCACTTTGTCCAACGAGCGCCATGGTTCTTCCCGGTTCAATCTTGAGGTTCATGCCTTGAAAAACCATCTGATCAGGCCGGGATGGGTAGGAGAAGAAAACATTTTTGAGTTCTATCTTTCCTCGTAGTGGATTTTTAACTTCAAGTCCTTGCAGATTATCATCAGGCTCGATTTCCGATTTCCTGTCCAGAATTGCAAGAACAGATGCAACAGCACTACTACCTCGGGCTAAATCGGAAGTCATGCTTCCAGCATCAGCAATGTTCTTACCAGTACTCAATAAAATGAAGAAAGCTTGGAACAGATGTTTTGCAGACACTTCCCCTTTGTTCATTAGCCTCCCGCCATACCAAAACGTTATGGCCACATTTCCTGTGGTGATAAACTGAGAACAAAAAAGGCCTGCCCCAGAAACCCATGACTGTCTAAGGCTCTCTTTCCTGGGGCCTCTCTGTGTTTCCATGAAGAGCTTCATGATTCTTTGCTGAGATGAGAAGGCAGTGATAGTCCTGTGATTGATTACCGCTTCGCTTGCTAGCTGGCTTCCTTCGCTTTGTGCCTTTTTAGCTCTTTTGGACATGCTCTTCATCAAAACACTTCTCGAGTAGAAGCTCATAACGGCTAAAGGCTGTATGGCAATCATCACACTTGCGACTTTCCAAGTGACGATCAATCCCAAGAGGAAAGCGAGAGAAGCACTGGCGAAGATTTGAAGCAGCAACGAGATTCGGTCCCCAACCAGAGCTCTAACCATGTTTGCTTCTGAGGCTAGCCTTGCACAGATTGCTGCACTCGTGTTCTCGTCCTCATCGTACCATCCCACTTCGAATGTAAGCAAGCTTTGAAGCATTTTTTCCCTCACTCTCTTAGTTAACATCTCTCCCATGATTGCAAAGTTGTAATGTTGTATTATGCTGCTAAAATAGGTAATGACACCAAAGCACAGAAAAGCAATGCTGTAATCCTTGGTCTCTGATTTTATCTTTGAAGAATTTGATACATACAATGAGACGACGGTTCCCAAGCAATAGGCCTGAACTGGTTGAACTGCACCAAAAGCGAAAGCTCCAAGGCATCCCAACAATGCTCTCTTCCACTCTGGTCCGTTTAGTTTGAGCAAACGCCATATCGAAGGACTCTTCTGATACAACTTCTCAGAAATGTCCTTATCAGTGTCGTCACTGTCACAGTAAGAGTACAAGTGGACCGAAGGGACAATGCTAGGACTTATTATCGAGGGGCTGACAAAGGGAGAAGTAGGGGTGTTTAACCCGCTTGATCTTGCACTATAAGCCGAGTTTGGGGTATTCATATGGATCCCTCTTCTCGAGTTCCTTGAATCATTCAGGTGATAATAAGAACGTGAAGGGGCTTCGGTTTCTGTTTCTTCTACTGATTGTTGCAGTTGTACCATCTTGAAGTACACTCCACCAGGACCACCACCTTCTTCATTCATTTGCATCAGCTGATGATGAGACCCCGACTCGACTATTCTCCCCGACTGGAGGACAATGATTTTGTCAGCCTTGCGAATCGTGGTGAGGCGATGCGCAATGACAATGGTTGTCCTTCCTTCTGAAGCCTGGTCTAATGCCTCTTGCACTACTCTCTCAGATTGCGCATCTAGAGCACTTGTAGCTTCATCAAGCAACAGGATTTTCGGGTCTTTCAACAACGCCCTCGCTATTGCAATCCTTTGTTTTTGGCCTCCAGACAGCTGAAAACCAAACTGCCCAACCTGTAATAAGGTCCAAATGTAACAGAAGAAGCCTTATCAGAGATATTCCAATTGTTTTAGAAAAACAGGTAAATCTGATTTCATAATAATCTCTTACATGAGTTTCATATCCTTGGGGTAACTTTTCAATGAAACTATGTGCATTTGCAGCCTTAGCAGCATCAATCACATCCTCCATTGAAGCCCTTTCATTACCAAACAGTATATTTTCTTTTATTGAAGTTGCAAAGAGAACTGGTTCTTGATTCACAAGGCCTATCTGAGATCTCAACCACTTAAGCTTGAGTCGTTTTATTTTGTAGCCATCGAGCAAGATATCGCCTCCAGTTGGATCATAAAACCTTTCGAGCAAAGAGACGAGTGTGGATTTCCCAGAACCACTCCCTCCCACCACGCCCATTGTCTTCCCAGCTTTTACTCTCAGACTGAAGTTTTGAAGAACTGTGATATCTGGCCTTGATGGGTACCTAAAACTCACATCTCTGAATTCAATCTCCCCTCTTACATATGATAGAGCTTTCCCTTTCCCATCCTCGGAGTCTATCTCAGGAACGCGGTTTATCAGCTCAAAAATCTTGACAGCAGCAACTCTTGCCTCAGTGATGAATGAGAAATTAGGCAATACACCCATGCATGATCTATAATAACAAAAAGGAAAAAGATACTAAACTTTATTTGAAAAGTCAATTAGGCCTTTAAATTTTTAAGAGTTGTAATTAAATCCATAAACATATTATTTTGGAGCATAGTCCCATATAAGTCCAAAAATCAGTTGATGACCTGTCATTGGGCAAACTATTGTATGGATCCTGGTCCACACAGTGTTGTGTGGACCATAACAAAAAGTACATTTTTAATATATTAAAAGTCGTGTTCTGAATATACATTATAGAATAATGTAGTTTCAATGTACATTTTTAATATACTAAAAGTATATTATTTTTGTCCTGAATGTACATTATTTGATAGTATGGTCCACACAATAATAATTGATACAATTACAACCATGTTGAAAAAATCGTTAGGCCTTCCGGGCGCTCGGGGGGCGCCTAGTGCATAAGGCGCCGTGTGTTTTTTGTTTGTTTGTTTTTTTTTTTTTTTAATTTTTAAGACTTGATAATTATAAAATATTTAATCCTTTAATAGTTAATACTAAAATATTAAATATTAACCTAAAAACATGTAAAGCTTGAACAATTTAGGGTTATTTTGCTCAAAACGATGTCGTTTTGAATGAAATACTCTGTAACTTATTTAAAAATTAAAAGAAAGGAACAATAGCTACTCGGCCGACTAGGCAACCTAGTTGGTGCCTAGGCGGCCTAGGCTGTCAGCACCTAGGCGATTGCCTAGACCACCGATTATGGTGATACGCTAGGCGTCCGACCAACGCCTAGTGCCTAGGAAGGATTTTTGTAACATTGATTGCAGGTCACTAGGGTTCCAGCGACTTCGGCCAGCCTATGACGAATTTTTGGCGAGATTCCGGGATAAACAATAATGGCCAACGGTCGCCGGTCGCGTTTGGAGAAGGC